CCTTCTTCTTCTTCTTCTTCTTCTTCTTCTTCTTCTTCTTCTTCTTCTTCTTCTTCTTCTTCTTCTTCTTCAGATTGAAGACTTATACTCGTTGGACAGAGATCAGAGTTGGACTTCGGTGATAGGAGACTGTGGTACTTACCGGATTGGAGACTAGGAGATCGTTGGGGTTGATACTTGGCGACATCACAGTTCGGACACCGGTTACATTTGGACTCTGTATCTCCGACATTGGTGACCTATGGTCCTCGACATTTTGATCTTGTTGGATGACATTTTGGACTACCATATCGGTGACCTATCAGATTTCTATCTCGGTGACTTTCAGTGCTGTCTACCTGCCCCACCTCCTTCGTCTCTCCTCCCCCATTCATCTGTGTATGTCGCCTAGGGGGCTGAGCATCTTCTCTGTATGGCTCAGACCCCACCATCTCACGATTGTATGTGTGTGGAGTGATGCTATGTGAGTCAGTCTATGTGAGTCAGTCCGTTTATCAGACTTCCGCTGCATACATGCTCATCCTATATTGGTTGATCTTTGGTTCTGCCCATACCCATCGAAGTATGCAACAGGTACGGTTGATTGCAAAACCGCGAGCACCCAGTCAATCGAACAACCGCCATCATTCAGTGACTAGAAGGGCATACTTGAAGGCAGCATGAATGCATGGACTCCAGTTTTACAGTCAGATATGGTCCATTGCAAAACCGGATTGAAGCACGTTGGACAATAGCGCGCTAGTACCTGTGCGTCACGGCTGAGGTCTAATGAGTAAAAGCTAAGCGGCAGTCGAATAATAGGCAGCCAACAGACCAGTCAATGGGCCAGATTCAGCACTCAGTCCACCCAGCATTTGTTCATCCCGACAGCAACTGCAGAAACGTTGACCACGGTCATGACCACGGTAATGACCACGGACGGCTATGGTTCCCATTTTATTTCAGAGTTCGAAACTGCAACTTGAAGGATGGAGGAAGTAATGACAGTACTAGGAAGACGCCGAATACTTACCAAAAATTTGACCTCTGTTTTTTTTTCCAAAACTGACATCTCATCCTGTGTTGTACAACTTCTTCTGTCACTTTACAAAGCCTGCACTGGCCCTGCAGGCTGCAGCCATGCAATAGAATTGACAATTTTGGCACCAAGTCCACTTCAAGTTAGCCACCATGTCCTTCGGGACATCGGTTAAAATTGGGACGATACAGAGAAGATTAGCATGGCCCCTGCGCAAGGATGACACGCATAAATCGAGAAGTGGTCCAAATTAAAAAAAAAAAAAAAAAAAGCTAGCCACCATGCGCTCCGCTTCCTTTCTTTCTTTTTTCTTTCCTGAGATGGAGGTAGTCCCTATACGTCTAACGCAATCAAGATTCGAACTCAGGATCTGCCAATCAACATAACAGGTGTTTGCCATTCCGCCGAAAAGAGTGGGCAACCACATGTTCTCTTTTCGCCTCGCGAAAAATGTCCACCCTCTTCTGCCAGTTGATAAACTGGCAGGGAAGGGCAGATCCTTCCTTCCCTCACGGAAGGAAGGAAGGAAGGGCCTCCAGTCCGCCAACCAGCACACGTAGAAACACCGTTAAGGAAGGAAGGAAGGAAGGAAGGAAGGAAGGAAGGAAGGTCACAAGTTCAAATCCTGTAGGATCTTGAGAGCGGCAGCATGCTCTACCAGGGAAGGAAGGAAGGAAGGAAGGTCCTGCGTCCATGACCCAGTACACGTAGAAGCACTGCAAGTAAGAAAGGAAGGAAAGAAAGGAACTGCATGGTTCACATGGTAGCATCCCTCCTCTCCTGTTCTGTCATGAGACAAATCCGACAATTGAGCAATAGAGCCGAATGAGCATTTCGTAACCAGGTCAATCTAGCAACCGCATCCTTTTTTCATCTTGGTATCATATTAGCACTTACGTTCTGGTCAGCAACAATGACGGCAGATGAGCGCTAATAATATGCCATACTCCACACTGGTCCTTTTGTTCGCGTCCTCCCTCATGTCACTTGGAAAAGCCGGCAACCTAGACAGGGCGACACTATTCTTCTCCTTTTGCATACATCTCCCCTTCTGCCATCGCAAAAAGACTGTCTGTGATGAGCAGGTGTAATACAGTATTGTGGAGCCGCAGGGCAGCTGCATGCATGCTGTGTTCGTGCTCACCTTTCTCAGAAACTGACAGCACCTGCAACCAAGCATAACTGCAGACTGATTTCATAGCAAAGAAGCGCTTTCCAAGGGGAGTCGATAACGTGAGGTGCGAATTTAAAGATGCTTGCTTGCCAGGGTGAAGTTGATCCTGGTGGGTCTTCCTTTCAGTGACATGCTTTCACACAATCACTGTTACCATCGTCCCGGTCACCAATGACACAAAACTACATTGGTTCAGATGCAATTTGATTTTGCACGGACGAGTTGTTCACCCGTTTTCAGCTCGATTAGATATCAATGTGACAGACCGAGCGTCAAGGGGTCCTCCTGCTTGCCGATTGATTACATACCAAACCATCCACCGTTTTCACTAATGTGGTAGACGTAGACACAGACATCGGTTTGGATGCAGTTCGATGTCGTAACGATGAGTCGTTGAATGGGCATAGCCCTGTCGACTTTCTCAGCTCGATGAGATATCAATGTGACAGAGCAAGCGTTAAGGAGTCCTCCTGCCTGCCCACTGAGGAAATATCAAAGCGTCCACTGTTTTCACTAGCGCCGTAGACGTGGATGTAGATATAGACAAGGCACTAGCATGAAAGTGCCCTCTGCTGCCTGCCTGCCTGCCTGCCTGCCTGCCTGTTCAACGTGAATCAAACAGGGCATGGATGCCTGTCAACCGGTATAAGAGTTCCCGCCTGATTTGCCTCCTCACCTGGTGGCACTATATCAGGCACCCAACACATTTCCACACCCCTCTATCCAGCTTGTGCCCAGCACTGGTGGGCCACCTATGACAACAGTCTTCGTGTCTCTATCACACTTGCAGGGCAGAGCTGTCCTGACTCACGACCAATTTACCAATTTGTCCTTGAGGAATGGTAAGTCTCTGAAATGTCCTCCTCAACGACGTCAGCTACATCAGCTACCGAATGTGGCATCAATTGGGATGTGCTGGTCATCACTTTCGGACTCCGTGCCATTTCTCTCATGACTCTGGAAATGGAACGCATTTCGTAACCCTCTCTGATCGTCTCCCCCTCCTCCTCCCTCTCCTTCTTCCTGCTGCTCAATTTGCCTCTCGACTCTAACTGTGACGGTTGTAATGTGTGTTCCATCAACTCGTCCTCAATAGCATCTTGGTCCAGCCAATTGTTATAGACCTCAAGCCACGTGTCATTATCCCGGTCAAATTCACTTACGTAAGAGAAGTTCCGCAATCTTGGCAACTCTGTCGGCGGTCCAACAGGGGCCATTTCCTCAGGAGCATCATCAATTACGTTTGGCACCTCAAACACTTGAGGTGGTGGTCTATGTGGACCGCTGGCCTGGAAGACCCAGCTTCCAGCCGAAGATGGCGGCGAAGGAGGGAAAGGGGACAAACGACCGGCAGCTAAGGTTCTTGGAGTGCTGGGGAGCACATTTGCGTTGTCCGGGGACAGGGAGGTGGGAACTGCCGCCCCTCTCTCCACCACTGCAGGCTTACGATCACCCTCTCGGCTGCGCAGGTGACTGTGCACAACCTGCACTTCGCCCTGAGGAGAAGGGGAAATGTTCTCTTTCCCCTTCCCAATGAATGTGTCCTTTGAATGCCAGTCATGTACATGATCTTGCCTCATCTTGAGGCTGTTTCCCCCAGGACCATGGAGGGAAGCAACGCTTTTTTCCACACCCAAAGGTTCCTTCAGCTTTGGGGTGATAGGCGTAACTTCATCCATTGAAGGAGATCCAGGGACAACAGCAGATACTACCTTTGATCCAACACCACTTACATTGTCGGGAGGGTGGGTGGGTGGGTGGGTGAGGGTACGGGTGGGAGGGTGCGTGGGGGGGGGGGGGGGGGGGGGGGGGGGGGGGGGGGGGGGGGGGGGGTGACTAAAGATTTCTCTGCTAGCGGGCATAGTGTCCCTGCCGGGACCTTGCAGGATATCGCCACTCTCTTCTTCAACAACACTGACACCCAGGTGTTCCTTTGCCTTCGGGGTAAAAGCAACGACTCCGTCCATGGAAAAAGGAGAGATGGGGACGACCATCGAGATCTCCGATCCAAGACGTACGTCACTTGTTCCCTGCTGCTGCATATCGTCCTTGGTTCTTGTATTCCCCACATGCAAATTGGTTGATTTCCCATTCTCTTCGCCATTACATCTGTCAACAGTTGTAATAACTTGGCGGTCAGGTCCATCATTGGTCCCTTCCAAGCTGGCCCTGGTTGGTGGTCCAGCATTTGTTCCAGGAACACGGTTTTCGCCACTCGAACCAGCTGCTGCAAACCATCCTCCTGATCCTTCAACGTTGTGCTTCCTGTCACCACCATGCTCTGACCGCCTCCCTTTGTTTCCTCCGCCCTTAGAGTCTGCCCTTTGGTGGTTCTGGCTCTTCTCCCCGCGAGAAGAACTGAGAGCAGAAACAGCTGCTGCTGCTGGGCTAAGATCGTTTGTAAGGGAATAGCTATTTTTTACTTCGGAGCTGTTCTCCAAATGCAGCACGACAGGTTCACCATTTCTTCTGGCCAAATTTTCTTCAGCCACTTCCCCTGGGGACCCTGCAGATGACCTTCCAGATCCAAAACCGGATGCGCTAACCAGAACTGTACCACTGCTTTCACCTTGTTCGCGCATGGGAGCAATGACCAGTAATTTGATGTTGGACTTCCCGTCCTGGCTTCCCGAGTTCGACCTTCGCAGAGTCGGTGCTACACTGGTGGAGGTAGCACCTACCACTCCACCTCTTTCTTCCGCCTGAGAATCATTGTGCGTGGGCAAACCTGCGGAAAAAGATTTTGACGAGGAGGATAATAAAGAAGATGACAAAGAAGAAGAAGAAGAAGACGAAGAGGAAGACAAGGAAGAAGAAGAAGTCGGCGATGTCACAGATGACTTGGCAGGGCGGAGTGACGTAAGGGACTTGGTGGTCCCCACCAAGCCACCCTGCGACACTTGCAGCAATCGGACTCCTTCAGACTGTTTGGAAGGGTTAGATGTCCTGGGTGACTTGAAGGAAAATGATGAGAACTCCTTCACATGGGGAAACGCATCCTCTTCGTGGCCTTTGTCCTCTCCTTCCTCATCTTTCTCTTCCACGGTGGACACTCGGCGGCGTTGGTGCCGCGCTGGAGCAGTCCGCAAGAGGGACTCTGTAGCAGCTTGCTCAGCATCAAGTAAAGGTTTGGTTTCCCTCTCTGGTTTCCCTTTGGCGTTCGACACATTGCTACGCATGCTAGTCGTGGCGTCACCCTGAAGAGTGTGTGAGAAGGAACTACCTGTTGCTGATAGTCCCCCAACGGAAGCACCACCCCCAGCACGACCCTGCTTGGACTTTCCGCCAACCCCAACCGCCCATCCCTTACTTACCTGCTGCTTGCCTAAATGTTTGCTATCTATCAGATTCTGCAAGGAGTGGGAATTTCCTCCTGGCATTGCCTTTCTACCCAAGGCAACAGCTTTTAAAGTGCTGCTTTCCTCGACATTCTCGTTGGCAATGACTTCCGTGTCACCGTCACCCTTGGCATACTTCTTCGCATCTTGTTCTAACATCTCCAACTTCATCTCGATCCCAGACTTCGAGATGACGCCCTTATTCTTTGGAAGGACCTTTATCTGATTGAGTCCACTGGCTGCACCTCCACTTCCATGATCAGCTCTGTCTGGGCCAGCCTGCTGCTCGGCTTCGAGCTTCACCAGCGATCCGGAGCTGGGAACAGTAACGACAGCTGATGGTGGCAGAGGGGTCACGAGTACCAAGCCTGTACTACTACTCCTTGACATGGTGGTGGTGGTGGTGGTGGTGGTAGTAGACAGTTTCTTATCCGCCTCACCCTCGGTCTTCAAGTTATTGTTTCCCAGTACAGCGATGCTATGCGACAAATTAGGCTTCCAACTCTCATCTCTCGTCTGGGCAAATGATTTCAGCCAGCCCGAAGGGGCCAGATTCCAACGGTGGGTCCAGCTGAGAAAACCAGGAACCCCGAAAGGTGTGTCTCTACGTCTCTTGACAAGTTTTCCTTCCTCGTCTTTCTTTTCCGATTCCGGCCCCTGTTTCTCCCCCTCCTCCTCCTGCTGCTGCTCCTTCGCTGGTGACTTACCAAGCTGATCACCATCACGGTTCACCAAGTTCTTTTGCTGAGTGAGGACTGTTGCTGAGGAGACTCCCTCTGCTGCAGCTTTGGCATCACTCTTTTTCACTTGCAATTGTTTGCCTTCAAGCCCTGCTACTGGAGTTTGCTGCTGCCCACTCTCTGCTCAGGCACATGTAGAGAAAAGAGAAACCGCACTGCAAGGGATTCAGCCGATACTACTTGAAAGTCTTATGATAACATATTAAAAAATTGCCAAGTTTATAAACATATATACATACGTGATCTACGATACCAGAGTGGCCCTGGACCACTTCCCGGCCGGGCCTCTACATATATATGTGGGTG